TGATCGGGTTGTCGGGGAGTGAAGAAGGAACACTAACCACTGACGCTAAGGCATTGTTACATGAAATCATGAGATAAGGAGTGGTTGAATGTTCTCGACGACACATGCATGGCTTTTGATTCATAGATTCGCTCTCTCTCTTTCTTTCGCCAGGGCTGTGGGCCAGGGGTTTTCCCCCTAGCCTGTCTCTCTCTCTCTCTCTCTCTCTCTCCCTCCCTCCCCTCCCTCTCATTTTCACACACTCCGACAGATACGAACATAGAGAAGCATGTTTACAAGCACTGCAAGAGTGCTGGGCACCGTAAGTTTGACAAAGAAGCTATGCCTCTTCTGGCAAAGCCCTTCAGAATCATCTCATGCGCACCGAAATCACTGCTGTAAGTCGGGGAAACACGTCCAAAAACCCTGCCAATCGGCCCAACACCCTACATCCGACATGCTATCATGCACGGCCTTCCACGGCTGTGAGCATAGCCCCGAGCTCTGCGATATCCTGGCAGCGCCGGCATAAATGAAAGCTCGGCGTTGTTGCTTCGGAAGGCTCCCCCATACACGACACAATCCCCCCCCCACCCCCCCCATCTTCGTGCGATTGGAGCTCGTATTCTTCACTGTCCGAGCCCACACCAACCCCTGTCAGACACTCCGAATACCAGTATAGCAGAAGTAGTAGTCGTCGTCGTGGGCGTCGCTATGACCGTCGTCGTCGACGTAGTGGTGAAGTAGTGTAGCGGCAGTCTATAGTGGCTTTGCATCATCTCCGCGATTAAGTCGTAGCTGATTGCTGAGTCGTGCACAGGCGTGCCCCCGGCATCTCAACACCCCCACAACTCACATCTCAGTGCCAGCCGGCGCCTCCAATTGCATCGCGGCCTCCAGCAGTTGCTGCAAGAACTGCGCACGGAGCATTTGGAGTAGCTCCGTCGCCTGTTCGGCAGAAGCTTCGGCGGCAAGATGCCCAGTCTATCTTGTTGGGTTGCTGCCGTGTTTTCTGCTACTGAGAGGTTCATGGGCATTGTGTTGAAAGGCGATGAGCCAGGGGTATCGCACTACATACATGCACTTCCCTTTTGCCTCAGGATTCAGGAAGCAAAGCAGGAAACACAAAATCCGTGAAAGGTGGCAGCCATTGAGTTTGAACCTCGCAGTAATGCTTCAAGCTCCGGCTTGAATTTGGGACCGCTGCAGGAAAGCCAAAATACTTGTTGATGCTTCCTGCTGTTGCTGCTGCAGCTACAATACCACCCGTTGCATATGTTGATGCTTGCTTTATGAACTTTCCTTTGCCTAGTTTTCTACAGGTGGTGGTCTGGCCGGCCCGGCCTCAGTGATATGCTCCTCTTCCACCTCCGCGTGGATGGCCCTTGCTATAGCTTTGGCCTCGAATCGCCAACCATGTGAATCTGTTCGGTAACAAACATTGAAAAGGATCTGTTAGACCCTAAGACTTCTTGCACGGCTCGCAATGCAGTCTCGGAAATGCCTCTCCTCAACGGCTTTTCTTAAGAGAAGAGCTAGGAAGAGCTTGGGTCAGCGCCAGCTCTGCCAGTGTGATCTCGGAAGGGTCGTCAGCCGCGCTGCCTGAAAAGGAGCTTTCGCTGCGCTAGGCTGCAAGGTCTCTGGAGGATGACACGTCGAGCTTGCGACCTGGAGGCTTTAGGGTCTGCGACAGGGCTGGGCTAATAATAGTTGAGGGCGGCTGCGCTGTGAAGGCTCCATGCGAGTCGCAGGCCCTGCTCAGGAAAGTCGGTGTTGCACCATGTCCAAGATGTCGGTGATCGTAGTGCTACAGTACATGGTTGTTGTCTAAAACAGGCAATGTGCAGCCTGCTTCTCCTACATCGGTGAACAGAGTAGTGTACGAAGGCAGAATCTCCACTGTAGCCTTCTGGTTTAAGGGCATCTAGACCAAATCTGCCTAGTCTACAAATCCCAACCATGTGGGAACTCACTCGCATAACTTCCTCCCAAGGTGTTCCAACATAAAGACAGCGTCTGGCGAAGCAGAACGATGACACAAATGATCGCATTATCCTGGCAAACATTTCAGATCAATGGAATCTACTGTGAGCACTATGACCCTCTGACCATCTGGCAGCAATGCCAAACCCCACGCAAGACCCAAAACCGAGCTCTCAAGCTGGGAAAGTTCAGGGACATCAAAGTTCTCCAACTTCATTATAGCGACTTGACATGACTGTCAGAAATGCGAACAACCTCGATCAAACAAGCCGAGCCGCAGAAACAGCACTGGGCAACGGTTGTATAAGGTTGCTGACAGCAGCACAGCAGCGCGAAAGCTTAATTCTTCTACGACAGACGTACCCTCTCCGAAACCATGCTCTCTACACCCCAAGAAGCCCCCGAATCTCTGTGCCCCTTACCGAAGCCCCGGGCATCCTAAGTTGCACACTGGCAGCGGTACGGAGCTCGTCGAGAACTTGGGTCTGCCTCCAGGCATCATTTTCCACAAGGGGGTTTATGGACAAGGAGGTCTGGGAATGCAGTTTTCCGGGGCCAACCTGACCGAGGACTGAGTTGTAGAGGGTTCGTCTGGTAGATTTTGCCATGCAAGACCCCCGGTTGATAGAACATCCCTAGTATAAAGTGATCATAACAGCACACATCCCGATCAAGGTCCGGAGCCTACCGTTTTTTTGTGCTGGGGTCCCCGAAGCCCCAAACCTTGACCAGAAACTCCCACATCCAGCAACCCTAGGTCGATTCATTGACTCAGGGCGGCACATTGCGTTGGTTTGCGACTTCTCATGACCTCAAAGGAGCGCCAAGAGGAGGATCGGGTTCAAAGGCATGCTTCTTCCGGCGCAGTAGAGGCTCAAACACCGACTTCGAGGGGTGGCCAAGGGCCTGATGGACGATGTGAGAACCGCGAACTTTGCCTGTTAATGCAAACAGCATCACCAGCTTGACGTCAGTATGTGGGCAGTTCTCTAAATTCAGGTCCCCTATCTGGTCCCCAAAATAGCACGGCACCCTTATCAACAGGACCCTGAAAGGGACCCAATTTAGTGAACTGCCCATGTGTCCGGGGGAGCGACTGACGTAGCGATCTTGGAGCAGCCTCCAAGCAAGTCTCACACGTCGCAATCTGGAGGTTGAAGATACCTCGGGTCCCTGATCTCGTATGCCTGGGTTCCGCCTGTACCAGATTGTTAATTAAAGCCCTCTTGCTCGCGTGGGTTTATACCCACTATGATGCAAAGCAGCAGGCTTCAATGCCTCGATACTTGCGCCCTCAGCTCGGAAACGGAAAATTGAAGAATGCACACAAATATGTGTCTTACGCGAAGCAGCATCGACGGCCGAGTTATGGCTGTCCGGAACTGCTTCGCACCTCGCCAGCTCATCATCAAAGCACCCTAGTTAGGCCCAAGTAGTAGACCCTATAACCTCATGCTTCCCGCCTCGCCAGCTCATCAGCAAAGGGCATCGAGATCTGAACCATTTTCGCGACAGCCTTTGCTTTCCTTGGCTTCGCAGGAATTTGGGAAGCTTTCTCCATCAAGCCTCTACACTAAACTCACTTTTTTGCATCTGGTTTGCACGACTCAACCAGGACAGAAACCAGAGGCACACCCGAAGCCCACACTAAACTCACTAAGCCTAGAACTGCCTCACAACATAGAGGCCCTTAATGTGCTCATCTTTCCATCCATGATGTGAGCCTGGAAACCAAGTCTGCCCATGTTGGAGAATACTACAGATGACAGGTCCGAGCGGTTTGTCCAAGGCTTTCCTGGGCTCTCGCTGTAAAGTGATCCGTGATGATTCTTCCAAGCTTCGTGAAGAGCACTTCTCCCGCATCTTCGTCGTCGGAATCGTCGACCTCTTCTGCCATGACGGACCTGGCGAAACCGGAACTTGAACACCACCACCGTGAAAAACTCGTGCAAAGGCAGACATGCAAGGACATCACGAAAGTGATAAGTTCACATGTCACTTGACCATGGCTAAGATATTCCTACAATCAACCACTACCTGAGCCTTTGTCTTCAACACCCTTGGACTTCTCTAAACAGCAACACATTGAACCACCCCCTTGGGTTTGTATGACTATATAAGAAGAGTTAAGCCCAGCGATGCCCGGGAATTGGCGAAGAAGCAGTCAGAGTTGAGATTTGAAGGTCCCACCCCCCTCTCTGATGGCCTCTGAAGCGCGTCGATGGAGAAGCCGTTCGCGTGAATCCTCCCAGCAACTCGTGTAGGTGTCGCCTAATATCCTTCGCCCTCTTGTTTCTGTTGCGTCTATGTTGGAAAATGACAATAGCAGCAGAAGTACTATGGATTTTGGTGGGTGAGGTTGCTAAACACTGAGGACTGAGGGTTTGGGGTCTAGTCGCAGCATTGCAGACTTCTTCTGCCAACCAAGCCTGTCAATCTCCTCCAAGGTGAAGTCCTCTCCACACAGTGTTCGCCTGCACTTTAAGCTGCTGTGGTATGAAAGGAAGGAACATGAAGGACCTTTGGGGACCCGAACACTTTGGGTGCAGAAGCCAAGATTAACAACTCGCTGAGATACAGCGGATGGCAACCTCCCGATCCTGTCTTCGGACACCCCCGGAAAGGAGCCACCTGCGGTGGGGTCTAAACCAAGACCAGAGCTAAGGCATTCTAAGAGGTTTAGGAATTGGAGCTCTAATGTGGCTTAGTCTAGCGTTCCGGGCGTATGTTTGGGAGGCCAAACACCTTGAAGCCCCAAAAAACACACCTTTTTGGCTCCGGGATGTCAAACCACTGCCATCGCAGCACCCTTGCACAAGAGCATAAAGAATAAAGATCATTCGGGAAGCATTGCATGCCGCCCCGCCCGCCAGAGAGGGATCCGGATGGCTCAGGGCCTTTACACTGGGATCAGGAAGGGCTGGAGTCAGTCCAGCAAACTCTGCTTGAAAGACGCCCTCGGGAACGAAGGCCATGTCTGAGCTAAAAAGGATTCACTCTGAATCAGGACCTCGAGGGCTAAACCCAATGAAGTCCTTGAATCCGTGCTTTTTGCATCCAGAAAAGCCCGGCTCCAAAAAGTGTGAAGGTTCTACCCCAGTACCTGGCTCGAAACAGGAGCTTCCTTGGTGGACTATGCATGAGTGCGTTCGTTGAGGGGGAGACGAGCAACAACTACAATTACTTGCTGACGAACACCATCTAGCGGGTCCGTCACTTGTGGCAGTAGCCAGAGTGACGGTTGCGAGTGCGACTGTGAGTTCGCAAAGATCGCTGATGGTGGACCGTAGACTCTACATAAACCCTAGAATCGACACTCTCTCCTGCAAAATCTTAAACCCAGCAGTGGCCTCTTGATCTCCTCCACTGGGATGCCACAAGTCTCCAGCCTGCCCCCATTGTTGCCTATCTTGTGCACTCGCAGTGCTTTGGTGCGGAAGACCTGCTGTTCGGAGAACAGGCTCTTCTTTCAAACCCCATCAAGTGAGAGGCATCCAGGCTGGGCCTCTAAATCTGCAAACCTCTACTACTACTATACTAACCGTTACTAACCCATCCGCATCCGGCGCTTGGAGGCTTTCAGCTGCCGGACTTGACACTAGTAAACGGCCATATCTGCCCATCTATCCACCTGCACATGTACTACAAACATATGAATAAGAAGGGTGGACTATTTTTTACAAGGCGGAAAAAAACGCTCAAACTTCGCTCCAAAACGACCTCTTCGACCACGACACAAAAGTGAAGTGTTGTTTGGAAGGTAAAAAGTCAACTTCGCTCCAAAACGTCGCGTTTGTTATGTCAAAACAAATAGCTCATGGAAGGTCACGAAAACTGACTGAAACGATCTGAAAATTTGTTTCGGAACTGAATTTTCACGGCAAAGTCGGATCGACGACGTGCTTGACGTGAAACTCCGAAACGTTCCAAAATTCATTTTCAGACTGCATTTCGCGGCGAAAATAAAAACTAATTCAAAATCAGTCTTGCGTTCGTTTAGCAGATAACGCTTGGCATCACATGTGATGCTATGTTGGGTTCAAGCACAATATAGCACAATACTGGCCACTGCAAGTACATAAACATAGTGGAATGGCGTAGTCGCTGTAACATTCATAGTAACAGTAAGCTGCATCGTCTCGACCTCACCCTTCTCGCCACAGCCGACCCACATTTTGTCAGGGTGCGTGCAGGGGGGATACGCAAACTTCGTTGCTGGGACACGGCTACCCACTGCTTGGAACGAACCGCAGCAAGGAATGCCGTTTCGGCAGAGTAATGACACAGTAAAGCTTGGACAACTGTTACGGGTATATCAGATCATGACTATGACCGTGGAGGAACGACCCGTATCACAAAGTGACATGCTGAGACTCCCATTGCTACCTTTTGTCTCCACCTCGGAGGTTGTTCAGCTGTACGGCTTGCAGGATTTATCACCCAATGTCAGGGAGGCAAGATGACTGACACAAAGGTTGGAGGAACCTTTCGCGATCTTGCTCATCCATTTCGCTGATGCTGGGTGCCAGCCTGACGAGATTTCGGGCTTCAGTTTTGTCGGGATAGGACCTGGGAGGGGGGTGGAGTTCAGGCAAAGCACTTCTGGACACCAGCGTGCGTCCAGTGCAGCATAAGGTCCCACGTGCCATCCAGAAGGAGAAGCAATCTTGGCAAAGGGAGCGCACTGAGATTTTACCGTCGCAGCCTAAACTCCACCCGTCAACCTTACCACCGACTACCTGCAAAAAGACTTGTGCTCGCGAGGGAGTGCGACAGTGCAAGAAACGCACTTGAGCTCCGGGGCTTCTCACAAAGCCCCATGTAGAGAAAAAGTTCGAACACCTTTCAGCACCAATGCAGAGTTGAGGCTGCCCGGAGCAACACAAGGAAGCTGAGGAGACACCAATACACGGAAAGCAGATCGAGATACAACCAAGCATCCACCTGATACTTTGAGGATGAATGGGCTTCGCGAGCAATCAACTAGAATCCGAAACTTCCGCAACTCCGCGCCTGTTGAGAGATTGGGAGAGGGCAGCTGAGTTCAACCTGTAGCTTGCGGAAATTCTGCTTTCGTGGCTTGCGGATCCGGGTTGCTTTCAGGCGCTCTTCTGTAGACGCTCAACTCCTCAGGGAGCCACAAGTTAGGAGAGCTGAGCGTGCAAATCACACAATTAGTATTTAGAAACCCAAAAAACCCCAAACCCGAAGCCAAATCCCGGCAAAGGAGCGTCAGGATTTCCATCTCTGAGAAGCCCTCGCCAGTGGAGAGCCGCCTCTCGAAGATTTATGTATTATAATACACGAATCACGGCCCGTGGAGCCAGTCAGAGTATATAGAAATATAGAAATAGACAGAAAGAGCCGAGCCAATCCCTACCCCCTAGTATCAAACGGGGGGGCCCCAATCGATACTCGGATTTTTACTATTAGGGGATATGTTTATCTCTACTGTCAGATTTGGGTACAATTACGGCCGCTCCGCACAGGCAGGCTCAAGCGAGGGCCTGTGAAACCTGACTTAGTCCTTTCAGACAGACAAGCAGTCAGGCCTGCAGATTTAGGAAAGTGTGAGGCACGCTTCGGACAGCCACGCTCACAGACCGAGCCGCAGACAGCCCGTCGCAGCTGAGAAAAGACCGACAGCTGGCAATCAGAGAGGCTCACCCTAAATCCTCAACCTTTGCCCTAACCCCCCCCCCCAAAAAAAAAAACAACAACAAAAAATCAGAATAGGGTTTAAAGGGCAAGGGTGATTTCCGGAGGATTGGGTCCAATGTGTTTTTATTATTCGGAGGGTGTTTAATAAAAGGGGGAAGGGATTATTCGTTCTTCCAATAGAGGCTACGGGCTTCTTCTGAGCTATTTCGGCATCTAAGCACTTGAGTGCGACTGCAGTCGGGCAAAAAGTATGTTGGGGCTTTTGAAGGGTGGTGCTCTTTTCAAGCACAAAGGTGAGCGGAAAATGGCGACAGGGTGCTGGATGGCGCAGAATTAGCCAATGTACGTTCTTCTGCCCCTTCGACCCCCAGCATGCTGAGGACCCCCTCTTGAATTTTTTCTATGGTTTGAAGAACCCAACTCGGATCGAAACGACTGAGTCATGGAATTACTCAGCGTCAAGTGTCAGGCTCAACACCTTTTTTTGTCCTCCCTCAGTCTTACAACCATCCGGTCACGGCCAAAGCTGGGAGTAGATGGCATGCAAAGGAAAATCCACAATGAGTACTAGCTGCCAAGCAAGAACATCCTGCACCCTGTGCACTTCTCCGCTCGCACAATACCGATATTGCCGACGGCCTCCGGATCTCTTGCACAGGCAGCCCGATATCTGCGAGCCTCACTCGGAAACAAAACAGTCTGCAAGGCTTCTGTGGAGGTTTCGAATTGCACAGTACCAGGAACAGGTTGGAAGGGGATCCCTCGTCATGTAGATGCCCAGACCCACTGGAGCAGTTACTCACTCTGTTACTCATCAGAAGCCTGAGCATCGGCAGAATACCCGCCCCTGGAGAAAAAGTGCACTCTCGTTTGATGCGAGCCTAGAGCTTCGGGAACTCGAAGACCCCACAAACCCACAACTTCCAAACCCCTTTATGTGTAAAGCTGTCCCGCCTGAGCTCGAAGAGTACACTTAGCCTCTTCCGATCCTTCAGTAGCTGTGCCTTGTGGGTGTGTAGTTGTTAAACCTCATACGCCAAACAAAGGGTGTGTGCGTGTGCGTATATTTGCACATGTATATATAGTATATGTGTAGATATGCATACATGTGTATATATATATACATATTATTATATACGCATGCTCGCATGCATGATGGATGGATGGATGGGTGGATGGAGGGAGGGAGGGGAGGGAGGGAAGAGGGAGGAATGCATGTCCAGTGTATGGATGGATGCATGCATGTAGCAGTACTGAAGAGTGACAATATTTTGCAATTGAAGGATTGGGCCTTGAGGAACACCTACAAAAAATTGACGCCGACCCGAAAGCCGCTCTTTGCAGCGTTATGTAGCATGGCACAATCTGGGGATCAGCTACTCGATGATTTCGGGTTCGACAAAGAGAACAAAACAACGACCCCATTTCAGCCTTTAGGCAACGTCGGCGTTCGGGGGCTTTCCGGGCATGGGGCCCTCGATTGACCTGGGTTTTCAAGGGTATTGACTGTAAGGTCTCAGGGTATGGGTTCGGTGCTACTCAGCATAACCACACCTCAATCCGAAGCCACTGCGGCCGATGTTCTTGTCAGGTGGCAGGCTTTTGTAGTGGGAAAGACCGGCTGTGCCTGATTATGTCCCCCAATTCCCCAACCCTGCAGCCTGCAAAGTTCACAGGGGCCGAAGTCCTAAAGCCGAAAACCGATCGCGCCGACCTCGTGTGGTCGTCCTCACTGAGGAGATGAGCATCGGAGGAGAGCCTTGCGATCGAGCTGCTGCAACGTTGACAAGCACCACCACAACAGCCACCGCCC